CTGAGGGGGGACCTCACCACAGTCTACAGCTTCCTCAAGGGGGGCAGCGGAGGGGGCGGTGCTGATCTCCCCTCTCTGGGGACCAGCGACAGGACACGAGGAGATGGAATGAAGCTGCATGAGGGGAAGGTCAGGTTGGACATTAGGAAAGGTTCTTCACTGAGAGGGTGGTCGGTCCCTGGAACAGGTTCCCAGGGAAGTGGTCACGGCACCAAGCCTGCCAGAGCTCAAGGAACGTCTGGATGATGCTCTGAGTCATACGGTTTAGTTTTAGGCAGCCCGGCAAGGAGCAAGGAGTTGGGCTTGATGATACTTATGGGTCCCTTCCAGCTCAAGATATTCTGTGATTCTATGTATTAGACTACACGAACTGAGCAGATGCCTGTATTCACCAGTCTTTCCCCATCAGATGGCACGCAGGCCAGCTCGTTACAGAGCTAACACTGGATTTCCCTTGCCCTACCAAGTGCGATAAAATTTAGCACTTAACAGGTCAGTGTCCTCTTATACCAGCCGTGTCCATTCAGCACCAAGACACCAGGGGCTGAAGCCAACAGAGGAACCAAACAGGAACAGGGCATGAGCAAGACCTTGAAACACAGGGCAGCTGGGCGAGCAGACAAGGAGACAGCACTAGAATCAGTGGAAGAACCAGGTCACGAGGTCTGGAACTGGAAAGCAGATTAAAGAAAGATAATGAAGAAATAGCCCCAGAGAGGTCTGTAACTGTTTGCTAACATCAATCAGGAAAAGTTTCTTGGAATCAGTCGTTTGCTGACCACTATAGAGAAATTCTCATGCAATTATGGTTGAAATCTTTCAGTCTGGTTGGAGGCTGATGCCATTAGACTTTCTGAGAGAACAGTTGTACACTCCTTTCCCCAGCCCATAACTTATGAACATAGTGCATCTGGCAGAAAGGCAGACTCACAGACAAAAATTTCCTAAGAGCTTCATGAAAATACAGACCCAAATGAAACCTGACCTCAAGCTGCAGCTCTGAGGCAATGTCAACTGTCAGACAGTGGGCAAGAACGACAGTGAGCCAAACTCTGGACTTTCTGCTGCTCATCGGTGTGCCATGAACTCTGCTACATTTAACGTACAGCCATTATCCATGAGCAACACCAAAGCTTTTGGTTGTAATGACTTGTAAGCAATATTGGAAGCTTATTTGCCAGTTTTATATGGAAAAATCTGTATGGACTCACTCTACGTTGAAAAACAAGACCTAAACAACACATACAATTGAACCAAGAGGACAACATTTTAAAAAAAAATTGCTTGTATGTGTAGGCATATAAAAGCGTAGAACTCTGCTAAAAACAATCATTGCTTTTAAGCACTGCTGCTGTAACAGAGAATCACAGGCAATTCGATTTCAGGCTACTGTACGCATATGGATTTGATACGCAGTCATGGGTAGCATGTACCTCTTGCCATTAGGGAACTTGCAATGAATTTGATATTAAGGGCTATAATTATAAGTTAGCCTGTTTCACCCCTATAGCGACATTTCAGGTCCTAAGAACCCAGTTAGGTACATGGTTGTGGCTGGGGTAGGGTTAATTTTCTTCATAGTAGCTAGCATAGGGGCTATATTTTCAATTTGTGCTGGAAACAGTGTTGATAACAGAGGGATGTTTTGGTTACTGCTGAGCAGTGCTCACACAGACTGGAGGCCTTTTCTGCTTCTCACCCCACCCCACCAGCGAGGAGGCTGGGGGTGCACAAGAAGTTGGGAGGGGACACGGCTGGGACAGCTGACCCCGACTGACCACAGGGATATCACACACCATATGATGTCATGCTCAGCATATAAAGCTGAGGGAAGAAAAAGAAAGGAGGGGATGTTTGGAGTGATGGCATTTGTTTTCCCAAGCAACCATTAGGTGTGATGGAGCCCTGCTTTCCTGGAGGCAGCTGAACACCTGCCTGCCAATGGGAAGCAGTGAATGAATTCCTTGTTTTGCTTTGCTTGTGCGTGCAGCTTTTGCTTTACCTCTTACACTGCCTTTATCTCAACCCAAAAGTTTTCTCACTTTTACCCTTCCGATTCTCTCCCCCATCTCACTGGGGTGGAGTGAGCGAGCAGCTGTGTGGTGCTCAGTTGCCGGCTGGGGTTAAACGACAACAACCTGAATAAGGTAATTTTAGAAGTACTCTGAGCACATTCCTACTGTCAGTAATGAAGACACTACTTGAAGGCAAGAGGTTCATGTTGAACTGACTGCAACAGGCAGCAGGTCTTACTTATACTGTAGAACTCAGAACATCTTTAACTTCTTTCCTGCACAAAGCATTTAAGCTTCGCCTGGGAGAGCAAGCTGACTGGAGCAGAACCTTATGCTGTCCAGAACTGGAGGCATGAAGCCAAACAGCTTTGGAGCAGAAAATGGGGTGGAAGGTAGGACCCTTGACTCCTGACAGAGGGAGGGAGGAGCAGGAGCCACAGCACTTATTTCAAGAGGAAGAGAAGGCTAAATCCTCCTTTCCCAAGAAGAGGTGGTTGAGGACATTCCAGAGACCAAGTCTTCCCCTACACACTGTATAGCAGAATCAAAAATTGTTACTGAAGAAAACAGTAACCTGAGGGAAAGCTACTATCATGTGTTTCAGGCTTAGTTAATTCAACACTCACTAAAAGAAGGACACCTAAATAAAAACAAATTTCAGTAGTTCATTTTCTAAATAACTGGGTGAAGTCATCACACAACATCACTATTTCACTTTTTAGCCTGAGTGAACTCTGCATGCATTTTTTCGGTCACAATTACCCTGAAAGAAAGTAGTACATGTACACAGAGTGGATAGTGCAATTTTCAACAATCCCATGCTCCTTTTTAATTTAATTGTAGCTTTCAGTGGATAAAAGAATTTAAGGGCTGTTTAAAGGAGATCCTGCTTTATTATTTTTAAAGTTGCCCCACCCAAGTTTTGTTCTCCCACACATTCAGTCCAGAGCACATGGGAACACAGTGATTTCAACGGAATGTATCCCATCAATCTTTCTGTTCCAGACCCCCATGTAGCATTTTATACTTTAAAAACTGTTGAATGGGAGCCTGCTACTTAGAACATTGGGCATTAAAAAGAAGTGCCAAGCCTTAATTAGCATAGTGTCTAGATTAAGACTGAGATTTTATAGTACAACATACCTAACTGCCTCATCATTTTGAGATTTATGGAACAATGACTACACCACAGGCCAAAAAGCAGAAATTTTCATAAGAACTGCAAACTTTTCAACCCCCGCATGATAGTACAACAAATAAGCATTTCCAGAAATACCAGAAGTTAGAGCTGGCAGTTAGCATTGGGAAATCCCAGCCTGTCTTGGCTCTGCTTCTGGTAATAGATACTTTTTCTGCTGAACTGCACAGTCAATTTTCAATTTTAAAAGACACTCTACTTTTTTAATTATTCAGTATTGAAGATATTTGGAAACAAATGCAAATTCTATTATTCCTCTTGTCCAGTCAACAAGCTAGCAATTAGAAGAAAATTGGTCCACTGTAAAATTGCAAGACATGTTTTTCAGCCGATCTTCAATACTCACAGAAAATGGTCCTAAAACTTTTCAGTTATTCACCCACAGATATAAGTCAAAGAGTGAAAACAATCCAACCCATCATAGCCTTCACACCATACGCTTTTTCTGGAGTAATCAAGAACACAGTTAAAAACAAATCTACCTAAACAGATTGCCTAGGTTCCTACAACATCTTAGTATCAAAGAGCTAGATATTTAAATGTGTGTGGGTGCCTAAAAATGTTGATGAGCATCCTGTAATATTTAAGAAGCAGAAAAAACACGTTTAGACAGGCTTAATATCTTTGCACATTTGAAAATCTACTCGGCCCTCATCTGCCTGTTTAAGATTCTAGATGCTTTTGAAGTCAGGCCACAAACTGACCATTTACTACAGAAAACACTCCAATCTCAAATATTAGTAAGAGGCCTAATAAGACATCAGTAGCACTGTTTTTGTTTTAATTGGATTATTTCTAACTCTGCTTTTTCAAGCAGAAACAGTGAAGAACTTCTGTCATTCTGAGACATTCATTCTCTATCATGCAAATAAACTACAGACAGTCTATAAACAAATTCAAGCTCTGAAGTGATAGTTCCCAATATTACAACATCAACTTTTTCAAATGTTACATGTAATAGTCTCTTGCAACAATCAAAATGGTCATCCTTTTAGGTTGTCAGCTTTTAGCTGTTATTAACAGTAGGGTTTGAGTTTGATAACGAAGAGCAAGAAGTGAGGAAAGACTGGAGAAAATACAGCTTCTCAGGCAGAAGAGACTAGTTCCTTTGTCAAGACATAAGTGCAATTTCTGCTGGTTTGTCTACAGACTCTTGAAGTGAGCACATCCACTACTTCGCTTCCAGTCTCAGCATTTGCTCCCACGCAGGCACCCTATCCACAGATTTCCAGTCTACAAGCATCCTCCTGCAACTACACATCACACTTTGTCAATACTCATTTCTGACAGAGCGATAAATCTCATTCCTCCACTCCAAATACACATGTTCACATGGCAACAGTCACTCCCAGGAAGGATTTCACAGTGATTAAGTGTGTCAAGGAAACAAGATTCTCCAGTTAACAGAGCTGCCTGTGCACACAGAGAGTGAATCGGGTGAGGTACAGGAGAGATGAGCAGAAAAAGCACGAAGTGAGGAGTCACTCTACCATCTAAGAAGAGTCAAGCTCCCATCTCTCAGTTGTGGACTATATGAATTCTGCTTGATGGTCCCTGTGGTGTATTTGAAAGCCTGCAGAGGACAGGTAGTGGGCAAAAGAAAAATGTTAACAGCAGCCAGAAGGTATGCTGGATTTCTGCAGTACACTCCAACCAGTTATTTCTGTATTGAAGTAATTTCAGTTGCTTTCATAGCATTATTGAGTTCCCTTAACATACTTACAAGTACTTGCTTTCTAAACTATTTTGTAAAATGCTTCTGTAAATAGTCTACAAAAGCTGATCATGCATTGTAAACTTCCACTACCCACAGAACTGCTGGACTAGTACAGATTTAACCAAGCAACGCTATTTCATGCATCTGCACTATTACAGTAAGAAACTTTAGAGAGAATGGAAGCATCCCCAGCTATATATGGAAATGTAAGAAAACATAACATTTACTTACCACATATAGAGATCCTGTTTCTTTTTGGCTTCAAAGAAGATGCACTTATTGCAGTTTTTCATTTCACACACCTACACAAGAAAAGCCAAATCAGCTATTTACAAAATTCTGAAGATATTTTAAAAAACTTTCCGCATTAATCTCTAGTATCTTCCCCCCTCTGAAACCTAAGTTCAAAAGCAAAGGTCCCGTCTTAATAAATTACACCTACTGATCCCCAAAATGAAGTTGAAGCACTTGTTCTGTTGAAAATCATCTCACATATTTATTACCAGGAGTAAGCTACAAGCAATCTGATAAGCTCTCCAGGATATAAACACTAGAGCAGGCGCAGGCACAGGCACTGAGACATTAGGTTCTAGTTTCAGAACTATCAATATCTTACTACATCGTTTGGCCTGGCTGCGTATTTGTTCCTTGCTTGCTTCAAGTATAAACTGTAATACGCCTTTCACCTATACCGAAAGGCACATTCTGTCTTATTTCTTCATGACAAAAGTCTATGTTTAATTAAAGGTTTCATTTTTGTTTTATTAATCAAAAGTCAACTTCCTGTTTTAACAGGAGCACTTTTTGAATATCACTAATTTTCATCTATGAAGTTACACAACTGCTATGACTAGTATGAGATCCTTTGAACTTGGTTGCCCTTTTCTCTTGCACATTGAATTTCCAGAGAAAATGAAAAAGAAGCGCTAGTTAAATCCTGGATTACCTCATTAATTACAAACAACTGGTCTTTACGGTCCATTTTAGTATCTGGAAGACAAGAACAACATTTAGAAGGCTGGAAAACCAATTTAACACAAGAAGTTCTTTAACAGTCAGTCCTTTCACAAAAATTTTACTGGTTATAAACAGAAGATTAAGAATAACTATCAAGTTGTTTCAGCCACGTTATGCAATAAATAAACCTAGCAACAGAAGAATCTGGGCACTTACAGGACTGAGGCCATAGGAGTCATTTCGCAGAAAGTACTGAGATACAATGTCAGTCACTGTATCTGGGGGTTGGTGTTTGTTTGTTTAACATAAAAGTTTCATCAAAACAGTTATGTACTACATTTTTAAAAAGAACAGGTTGTTAGAAGTTCTTGGTTTAAAACTAGTCTGAAAATGTAAGTTACGGACGATGCCTAACCCTACCTGCTTTAGAGTGAGGCATCAACGTTCTTAAGTCTTGCATTAGGTGCCTCGTTCTGAAATTAATTCCACGAGAAGAGAAAATAAGCACTCGCTCCTTGTTTTTCCATTTACCCTAGGAAAAAGACACAAAAGATACATAGGAAAAGGAGTTTCTAACCTAAAAACTACTACAACGGAGCAACAATAAACGTTTGAACTGTAATTACAGAAAAACACAGTAAGAACATTTGTTATGAATATTATGTCCCCATCTGCACAGAATCAGTCTCTCAGCAAGGGTGCTAGCTTTCCTACAGAACACAGGGGCGTAAGTTTTTACAGGAAAAAGTGTCATCCACCCTGCTTCAGTACGTTCCCACATAAAGCCTTTCGCTCGTACAAAACACGTAAGTATTAAGAAAGCCATATGCAATATTATTTGCAAAAGGCATCCCGCCTTCCCTGCGGAGTGACCTGAGCTACAGCCTCAGAGCACAATTCAGCGTCTCCTACAGCAGAGCATGCGACGAGATCGCAGACTTCAACGTGCTACTTTTCCTTTCTCTTTTAAGCAAACTACAAGGCAACTATTGAAGCCTTCTCAGGATGATTCCTAAATGAAACGGGCATAACGTCCACATATCCTTTGTGCATAACAGAATTACCCAACTCTCTAAAATACTTTTGAGATTAAGGTAACGCCGCTTATTTACATTGACCAGAATAACGCTCTTCGCAGATTTTCACAGAAATAGCATACCATCGCATGGCACTTTTATTTGTGCTGGGATTATAAAAAACATTTAGGAATAAGCCTCTCTGCCCTCTGCTTGGCAGCTGGGTTCCCCCCAGACACCCCGAGCCCCGGTACCGCTGCGGACAGCACCGCCTTCCCCATGCAGGCGAAATGCCTCCCCAACGCACGGCCCAGGCATGGAGCAGAGGTGCCCCTCCTATGGGTAAACGCCGTCCCGGGCAGGGACCAGAGCGGCGACACCCGGCCCGGCCCAGCCCGGCCCGGCCCGCTCCACCCTGAGCAGCGGGGCCGGGAGGTACCTGGGAGACGGGCGGCGGGATGCTGTACTCCTCCGGGGCCGGCTTGGCATCCGGCTCGGGCGCAGTCGGAGCCCTCTTAGCTCGCTTCTTCGCCCGCGCCGCCGAGCCCTCATGCCTCCTATTGGGCGACGCCACCT